CCTGGCTTTTGTTCTTTGTTTTGTTTTTGTCAATGGGAGTCCCAGACTCTCAAATCAGAGCAGCAGAGATCATCTCTTATATCCCTTCAGCAGAGTGGGCATCATGAGCTACCTGCCTACCCTGGACCCACATAGCACTCCCTACAAGAGCAGACTCCAGTGGGACTCCTTCCAAGATCTGGGGCTCTCCTATCTTTTCTCTGATGTTCAGAATTTGTGCTGTCTGTCCTGGTCCATGTCTACTTTCAGAGACTCACATGGATGGGCAGTCACGTTCTACAGCGGGATAGTGGGACGATCCTGAGACTGCCTCCAAGGGGATCAGAGCCCTTAGCTGTGTGATGAATCACTACCTTAGAGATTGTTTCTGTCTTTGGAGAAGCTGGTGAGCTGGTTTGGGGGCAGAGAGGCCCAAACACAGGCAGCCTTCACTGACCCTGACTTAGTAATAGCATCAAATGATGAATCAGTGGTTCTGGGAGGCCTCTGGGAAGCAGCTGCAGAAATGACCCAGCCCCCTAGCCACTTGACTCTAAATATGAGCCTTTGGCTAATGGCATTGTAATAGTACATTTGCTAAAAAGCAAAATTCAACTGAGTGAACTTTAAAGATTTTGTTGGCTTTATTCAATGATTCATGCATTGGGCAGCATCTAGCAGATAGGAGCTCTGAAGAGATAAGTAAAATGGGAGACTTTTATAGTCAGAAGGAGTTGGGGTCAAGGAAAGAGTAGACTACCTTATCATTTTTGGGGGATGGAAGAGGCCTATCAGGTGGATTACATCACTAGTGCTGACCAGAAAATTCTGGACTTACTGGTTTAAGATTACATTCTTGGAGAGGTTGAAACTGCAGTTAGGTCAGGTATTATATGAAGTCTTGGTTCGGTGATATGGATTTGGCACAAGTAACGCCATTTTGGGTTTGTTGTCTCTCTCTTTTTAAAAACACATTATATATGAAAGGAGCAGTATTAATTTAGTTTGTACCTTTACTAAGTGAAGTTTAGCAGTAGGTGCCAGCAATACAAAGATGAGTGTGACAAGATACTTGCCTTCAAAGAACCCAGAGCCTCTGATGAAATGTTGAAAGTACACTAGGTCTCAGAAGTTGCAAGTGGTCTACAGATATGTTTTATTTGGCTGGCATAGCATTTAGAATTTTGAAATTTAGTTGTCATCCTTCCAATATGGAATATTTATAAAAATCTGGGTTTCTGGCTTCTCTTGGAAAACTAGTGTGGTCACACTGGGTCCATACTCACTGCTTCCCATGGGGCTTGCACCAGAGCCTACTTCTCTTTGAACCATTCTTGTCATTTACATTTCAGACCCCTGTCCTAGGAGCAGCAAGAGGGGAGCATTAATTCTGGAAGCAGGTGAGACAGTGGGTGAAATCTTGTCAGATAGAGTAACTTTCCAGATGCCATCTTGAAAGCCTGAGTGGGAGATGGGGGTGGCCACAAGGGGCTGTGGAAGGGAGGGTGGGATGAGAGGAGAGGTATATAAGCTGGAGGACAGGCTACACTTAGGTTCGGCTAGCAGCACAGTGAATATGAATTGTGGGCAAGAATTCCAGGTCAAGTTTTCCAGCAAGAAGATGAGAACCCACCTGGTCTCAGAATAGAAATCAGTTCTGAAGGCCTGTGTATCAGACATGAACTGGACACTTTGTTGAAACACAGATTTCAGTCAGCATATCTGCAGTTGGGGAGAGAGTCTGCATTTCTAACAAGCTCCTGGTCCCTGAAAAACCTGGACTGGATTGCTGATGAAAGAACCAAGCGGCACTCAGAGGTCTTGGAATGTTGAGGTTTTATTTTTACACCGTGGGCTCGGAGGGGAGTAATCTCCCAAGGTCTGAGCCCCAAACAAAGGCAAGGAAAGTAATATATATCTTTCTGCTTCCTTACCTGCAACATTTCTACATGCACAGCAAGCAAGCAAGCAAACAAGCAAGGGGGAGTAAGTTTAGGGAGTGAGTGCCTGGCAAAGTGGGAAGTGAAGGGGAGGGGGAAAATGGGAATTTCTGCTGTCTTTGCTAACTAGAGAAGCAGAAGGGAGCCACCTGGACTAGACTGGTGTCCTTGTAAATTTTTCCCTATCAGTGAGACAGGAGGGATCATGGTAGACAGAGTAGAACAAGGGCTTCAGAAGCAGGATGTCTGTGCCAGACAAGGAGAGACAAGTTGTGCTGACACATGTACTTTCTTGCACCAACACATTTATCACTAAGTATTTAACTTTTAGATGCCTTTAAGTTGATAGGATAACCTGAGTTGTGCCTCAACTAGGAGCCAATAAAAAAATAAACACTTCAGCCAACTATTGTATATAACCCCCAGATGCTATGTAAGCTTGGACTCTCTTGTCTTGATAAATGTGTCAGTAAAAGTTTCCAGTTTTATTGTATTATCTTTTAAAAATATTTTGGGAAGTTTTCTGGAGAGGGCAGTTTTGAACCTGTGTGTAGAGAGAGTATAAAGTTAAGAAAGTGAAGATATGAAAAACCCCAGGAATAATGAGTGCCACCCCACCTTAGGACAGGTAGAAGGTCTGTGATGGTTCACAGATGGAGGAACTGAAAAGGAAGAAGGAAAAAAACCCTTTCCTTAGGATAAGGGGGAGGGGAGCAGGTAAAACAAATTCCCAAGACCTGTGTGCTCCTTAAAGGTCTCTGCTCAGAGTAAAACTCTAAAAGCTTTTGATATGATCCAAGCAATGAATATCATTGACATATGTTTGAAAATGCACACAGTTTAATAAATTATTTGTCATTAATGGCCTTTGCAGCAACATAGGTATTTTATCTCTGACTTTGTGGTCTCCTGTTCCTCTCTAAGATTTTCCAGAAGCACTGGTGTGGGTAATATCTTGATGGTTGATAAAATATTTGGTACTTGAACAAGAAAAGAGCCATGTTGTCTCTGGTGCTGAGAGAGATGGGTCAGGAGAAATCCTGACACTTGTGGGGTTTGTGGCTGTGAGGGTAAAGTGACAATTATGAAAAAGTTTGCTTAGTCCTCAAGGCTGGATGTTTCAATTTTATTGTTTTGTGTTTTCACCTCGTGGTGCTCAATATATATTTGCTCAGTGAGCATCTAAGTATAAGGTCAGAGGCTCTACACACAAGTCAAAGAATCTGGAACAGCTAGCTGAATTAAGTGCAGCTTTCCACAGTCACCCCTCCCAGCTGCATTTCCTTTCAGCTGTAAGGCATTTGCCTTTAACCCAAGGCAGTAAGTGGAAATTTTTCCCTGGGATAAGCCTACAGAGCCTAACTGTTATGACTAGGTTCTTGGTCTGGTGTGGAATTCATTCAGCACATGTTCTGGCAGTCTCTGCTATTGCTGGCCCATCTCAGCCTTGACTGGTCATGACCTGGCTGAAACATTAAAGGGCGGCTGCTCTGTAATCCTGACTGTGTGGGGCTAAATCGGGCAAGTTACTTAACTCCTTGCTGACTCCATTTCCTCATCTGTAAAATGGGAATCATATCTTGTCTCACAGTGTTAACTGGGTGAAAGAAAGTGTGGCATCTCTGTCTCCATATTGTATCTATCTCCTTCATGTCCTAACCTTTGGGTTAAATAGTTTCTGCTCGGCCTTGCATGTAGACATGTTAATCATCAGAGGAATTTTGCTTACAACTCATTTTTGCAGATACTCCACTTACCCAAAACTTGTCTCCTCACCAAGGAGATAGGGAAATAGGTATAAAATAAAAACAATTGCCTTGTCAAAGATTTATAGGAACATTGTGACCAGACTTATGTCTATAAGTCAACTAACCAAACAAGGACCCTCACTGGTGCCCAGATGTCTGTAGCTGTCTGTCACCTCCTACCCTCAGCTCTCTCCTGCTCCCCCTTCTGCTTCCTCCATCCCTAGAAGAAAAGCTTGAAATCAATCCTGAGTTAGAATAGTTCTTAAGGACACTAGTCCACCACCTTCTCTGTTTGCTGGTTTTTTTGAATAAAGTTGCTTTTCCTTGCCCCAGCATCTTGTCTCTTGACTTATTGGCTTGAGCTTGGATTTGATAACAATAGAATGTTTTATGAAGGTTGAATAAGATAATGCAGGTGTGTAATGTACAACATGATGACTATGGCTAACACTGCTCTAAGATATGTAGGAAAGTTAAGAGAGTAAATCCTGGGAGTTCTCATCACAAGAAGAAAAAATAGTTTTTCCTTTCATCTTTTCTTTTTTTGTATCTGTAGAAGATGGATGTTAACTGAAACTATTACCTACCTATATTGTGTAGTTACTTCACAATATATGTAAATCAAACCATCATGCTGTATGCCTTAAACTCATACAGTGATGACATCAATTATTTTTCAATGAAACTGGAAAAAAATGATATTGCAGGTAAAGCATGCAGGAGAGTATCTCGCACACAGTACACAATAAATGTTAGCTGATATTATTGGGGATTATAGCTGTCCGATTAATAAATATGGGTAAAACATACTTTCACTTACTAAATTTAATTTAACATTCTTTGAAAATATAGCGGGCGCCTGTGTATAGTAGTAATTGAAAGCGAGAGAGAGAACGAAAGAAGGAGAGATTGAGGCTGAGTGTTAGCGGGGAAAGATGAGGAGCCACAGGCCAATATACCATTACAATTGAAGATGATCTGATAGGGGATTTGCCCAAGGTAATTACCACTAGCAATGGCAGAAACAGTCTGAATACTGTTTTTCGATTTTCAATCCAGTGCCTTTTCCACTATACTCCATTTTCAGGCAAGGCTTATTGGTTTTTCAAAAATCATTCCAAATCATGTCCCAATTCAGCTTTGTCCAAGTTCGTTCCAGTGAACAAGTTTCAAGGACAACGGCTGTCCGTTTGGCGCGCGCAGGCGGAGGCTGGAGAGGGCGGGGCTCGTGGAGAAACACCCGGGGGCCCCGCAAACTTTCCTTTAATTGGCCCAAGAGCCTCACCCAGTATCCAATCAGAAGCGCCTGCGTCAATGCGTTACTGGACTCGGCGGGGCCCGCGTAAATTTGAAATGGCTGACGGGTCGCCGGCTGGTGGCTGGCTGGGGTCCGAGGCGATGGCGCCGGAGCCCAAGCGCACCAGCTGGGCTGCCGAGGAGGAGCTGGCGTCCCTAGAGAAAGGTGAGCACCCGCCACGCCGGGCCGAGGAACTGCCTGCAGCCGCAGACCTTGTCCGCGCGGGCTTCGGGATCCGGGACCCTCCGAGGGCGCCTGGGTCTTAGGCCTTCCGGACCCTGCTGGGCAGCGGGGGTGGCGGAGCAAGGCCCCTAACTCGCTCTTAGGACGTCCAGGTCTGGGGGTGCCTTGGGCAACTCCCCTTCTGCCCGCCTGGGCTGGGACTGGCCTCAGCTTCCTCCAGACTGGAGGGAGTTGGTTGGGACCCTGGATGTCTGGAGGGGGTGAGGGGTGGATTCCGCGGTCTTTTTTTTTCTTTTTAAAAATTGTGCTAAAATACACATAACATAAAATTTAACATCTTAACCTTCTTAAGTGTGCAGGTTAGTGGTTATATTCACAATGATGTGCAGCCATCACCAGCATCCATCCCTATAACTCTTTTCATCTCGTACACTGAGACTCCATACCTATTAAACACTAACTCTCCATTCTTCTTTCTACTTTGTGTCTTTATGATTTTAACTATTCTTAAATACCTCACATCAGTGGGATCATACTGCATTTATCTTTTTGTGACTCGTTTATTTCACTTAGCGTAATGTCCTTAAGGTTCATCCCTATTGCAGCTTATTACAGAATTTCCTTCCTTAAGGCTGAATAACATTACATTGTATGTATATACTACATTTTGTTTTTCCATTCATCCATTCATCGATAGGCACTTGGGTTGCTTCCATGTTTCAGCTGTTGTGAATAATGCTGCTATGAATGTAAGTGTGCATTTGTCTTTTGGAAACCCTGCTTTCAATTCTTTTGGGTCTATACTCAGAAGTGGGATTGCTGGGTCATATGGCAATTCTAGTTTTGAGTTGTTGAGAGATCACCATACAGTTTTCCACAGTGGCTGTACCATTTTATATGACCCCTGACAATGCACAAGTGTTGCTGTTTCTCCGCATCCTCACCAATACTTGCTTTCTTGATAGTTTTTCCTGTTTTTTTGATAGTAGCCATCCTAATGGATGTAAAGGCATTATTTCTTTAACAAACATTTATGTATACTATGTGATGGGTACTGTTGTAAGTGATCAACAAATTATTTAGGTATCTTAATGCAGTTGAAGTAGGCATACTGTTTTCCTCTTATCTTTGTAGGTGAGGAAGCTGAGGCAGAAATTGTCACATAGCTCATAAGATATTGGTGTCCTCTGAGACTCATTGTGCATTGTGCTTATGAACAGCAGATCTTTGAGTACATGCTGGCCCTCCATAGGTTCAAGTAATTTTGGCAGCCTTAAGAGGAGCAAAGAAATCGAGGGAGCAAAATATATGAGGTGGGGGAGACAACGACTGCCACTAATGGCAGCCTCAGATACCCTCCATGAAGCCACCTTTGGAAAGTAAATGCCACCCTCAGTATTGTTTATTTAGCAGAGTCTGTCCACTAAGAACATTATATCACACAGAATTAGATATGCCACCGGCCGAATTGCGCCTTATGAAACATAATTACATACAGCCCAAATCTAATGTGATCAGCCTTTTCTAATCTTTCCCTTAGACATAGTCATTGAAATTAGTGAGGAGGAACCCAGTAGCTTTAGTGAAGTAAAACTTATGCATTATTAAGAATTCCATCCCTGTTTATTGAGGGGCCATTGAAAGACTGATATTGTAGAAAATAAAAGGAGGCTTCAAGTCATTTGAGAGAGAGTAGAGGAAATCAGTTTTTTATTTTAATGCAGCTTTACGGTATTGTTTTGGAGGAGAAAATGACTAAGATAGATGAACATTATGTTTTGCTAGCTATAGTAAGAATACACAGCTGCGTCCTTTGAAAGAGGTAACTTGGGAGATTTCCACTGAATTAAAAAACAACCCTCTTCCTCTGCCTCCCTGAAAATACAGAACTACAGAAACCTAAGCTGTGAGATTTTAGGTCCTTATTGTTTTGAAGTAGAATTTGGGTTTGGGAAACTGGTTTCTTCTGACAATGACAGAGGTAGGTAAAGCATCATACCCAATCCCTGTTTATATTTTGTTTGGAATTTCTAAGCAAGAATATACAAATAGAAGCAGTTTATAAGCACCAGCAGCATCTGGGATGGTTTAACCTGCTTATTTTTGTTGTTCTTTAAGTTTTGTTCCAAGATGAAGATTCCTGCAGTGACTGTAGCAATCAGGATACGCCAGGTTCTAGTTTACAAAGTTTTGTGCCAGAAGGAAAAACTCATTTCCCAGAAATGTTCCAAACAAGTCAACTTTTGTTCTATGAACGATTCAAAGCCTACCAGGATTACATTTTAGGTGAGTAGGTTCTCTTTTTTGCTTCTTTTATCTTTTTAGTTTATGAGTAGATTGTCTGTCTCCATCCCTCAGACTGCCAGTTGTTGGTTCTGAGAGAGTGCATTTAAGTGGATTTATTAACTTCTCTCTGCTTTATGCAGTCTCAATTCTGACTGTGTTTAATTTGTTTGTAGCGGACTGCAAGGCCTCTGAGGTAAGAGAATTCACAGCTGAGTTCTTGGAGAAGGTCCTTGAACCATCTGGATGGCGGGCAGTCTGGCACACTAATGTGTTTGAGGTGCTGGTTGAGGTAAATTTAATTCTGTTGTTAAGACATTTGTCTCTAGCTAAAAGCACTTTTCTTTAGACTGTTACAGTCGAAGTGCTTATTTTTAATTAAAGTTTATGAGCTGATTGAAAATAGCATGTTTTTTACATCTAATTGTCATGGTGTATGAAGTGTTCTGCAAATTTTTAGGGCAGCTAAGGAGGATCTACCAGGGGATAGAGGTGGTTTAAGTTTCTGTGTTCTTTGATAAGAGGAAATGGATTATAAACCTATGAAATGCAGTACGTATTTGAGAACATTTAAAAAGTAAAGAGGCCTAATTATGAAGTCAGCAGAGTTTCATTTAATTTTTTACCTTCCTAGTTGTAGCCCATTAAGTATCTTAAACCAAACAGGCATTTACAAACTGGCCTGTTTTTTTGCCTAACAAATTTGTAGGTATGTGGTTTATCTCTTGGTAATGTGTCCCATTGCAGAAAGTAAAAACAATCTTATTTTTTAACTGAGTAGGCCTTTCCATTAAATTTGCACTCTAATTACAGCTGTGAATTTTTCTCAGTGTTTGATAACTGGACCAAGAAAAACCCTGTTAAACTAAAATGTTAAACCAGGGAGTGTGACAAGCATGGCTGCAGCCCCTTTAGAAAGTGACATCACGTACTGTGGTGATTATGTGCGAGGCAGTGGTTGCAGCTGTTCCTTGAGATTTTTAAATTTGGATTGTGCTTATATCTCTGGCTGCGGTTCAGGCTTATTAATTTGGTTATGAGAGTGTCATTATCATCCATGTCCTCCCTCCTTCTGTCAATTCTCTAAAAGTAGTCAAAGGCATTGTTTTAAAGGAAGAATATGCTATTTCTCTGTTTAAAGACCTCTAATGCAGTACCTTTACCAAAGGCCTGGTGTTGGCTTCATGACTTCTTATGGTGCTGGAGAAGAAATAAAATCCAATCTCCTTCTGATCCCCCTCATGTCCTGGTCTCCCTGACCCTCTCATCTCACCTCCTGCTGCCCTACATCCCCTGACACGCCATCTATTCCTTCCTTTGTTTCCAGCAAGAAATGCTGTCTTTCTGCTTCCCCTGCTGCCTGTCCTGTCTCTGCCACAAGGCCCTTTACACCTTCCTGCGTTTCATGTGGCCGCTTCCTTTTTGCCTTTTCCATTACGGCCCAAAGTTACCTCCCCTGACCATCCCAGCAAAACGCAACCACTCCCCTGCTAGTTATCCTCTGTCATGTATTTGTCACCATTTTGTTTATCTGTCTCTCTGATTACAGTGTAAGCTCCATGTGGTTAAGAGCCAGTCCATTCTTGCTCATCTTTTATGTTGTGGAAGAAGGCTCCCTGCTCCCATTTTATGTTTTAAAAACATCAGGCTATAGGTAGTGTTTTATACGTGTGTCTTAATTTTGGTTTTGCATGTGAAGTCATATTTTAAATTTCAGGTCACAGATGTGGACTTTGCAGCCCTGAAGGCAGTGGTAAGGCTTGCTGACCCGTACCTCTGTGAATCTCAAGTGAGCACTTTTACCTTGGAGTGTATGAGAGAGCTCCTCAGTCTGAAGGAACATCGATTGCCTCTGCAGGAGCTGTGGGTGGTGTTTGATCATTCTGGAGTATTTGACCAGACGGCACTTGCAATTGAGCATGTCAGGTAGGAACAGAGTTGATAAAAATGAACTCGTGACCAGAAACTCTGGATGAAATGCTGTAATTCTGGTCTGTATTATCCCAGATTTAAAACTCAATCTGTAAACTTGGTGATTGCAGTATTATAAAACATTCAAAGACAGGGGAATCTTTTTTAAATTAAAAATATTCTAAAAATTATTTAAAGGTTTTCAGTTTGAGATCATTTTAGACTTACAGAAAAGATGAAAAAAAAAGTACAAAGAATTCCTGTATAGCTTAGACTCAGTGTCTCCAAATGTTACCAAAAGATAGGGGACTCTTAATTTAGTTTGTGTATATTTAGAAACTGTCTTAAAAGTTTTGGATGCTAAGGCTATGGTTAATATACTTGAACATAAAACGAAAGGAAAGAAAGTAGTATACCATGGCCTGTGCACTGATAAAACTGACGCATTGTTTTCAAGGATGTGTCTGACCAAAGAAGACATTTTTTTGGGCCACTTCCAGGATGCTTAAAAAATGTATTCTTGCCTTTCAACCTTTTCTGGCATGGTTGATTTCCACTTGCACAAGTGTACTCCTTGTCACTTTAGTGAGAAGGAAAGCCCATAACTGGATTAATAGGTATGTTTTTTCAGTTTTTCAGATAAATCTTTTGTCAGATAGTTCCTGATACGAAGAGTTCTTTTGCATCTTCTGGGTATAAGTATATTCACTAAGAAATGCTTACTTTTGGCTATTTAAAAATAGAATTATATTCTTTCAGGAACTGGAAGATTGGATAATATAATAGTCATGTTAGTAATATTGCTTGGTGTTTTGTAGTTTAAAAAATACAGTCCAGTTTCTGTACTATTAGTGAGTTAACCTGGTTTTGACCAGCTTAATTTGAATACAAAGAAGCAGAGTGTCTTGGGCCCTTCTTACATCTTTTGGAAAATTTCTAATTATATGCAAGAACATTTAACCCTAGATATTCAATATTAGGCCTAGCAATATAAATCTAAAGAACTGGCTTCTGTCCAGAACCAAAATAGCTCCCTTATGTTTCTCTCACTTAAAAATTCTGTCAATTGAAGCATTTGAAGGTAAAGGTATCACTGATGAATTTAGGAAATTAGGAATTGTGGATATAAATGTTGTTAGGAAAGACAAATATCTGGAATTAGTAATGGTACCGTTTGAAGGAGAGCTTGGCTAAATTTATTCTTTATTTCAAGGGCTCAGGCTCTGGTCAGTGCCCAGGAAAGGTCAAATTATGAGGGTTTCATTTGTTTATTTAGTCAATAAATATTTGAGTGCTGGGTCCTGAGTTGAGGGTGCGATTTGACTGGTACATGAAACAGGCACAGTCACCATCACCAGGGAGCAGGCAGTGTAAAGGTGGGAGAGGACCCTGATGAAGGAATCACAGTGAGAGCTGCACGTGGCTGGAAATGGCAGCGAGTGCTGGGAGCAGTTACAGAGTGTTCTGAGGACTAGGCCAGGTTGCTGTTACATGGTTCGTTCCTGAGGAAATGGCAGTTGACTTGGGCAACTTGTCCTTCAGAGGACTGGCTAGGTGGAAGGGATTTGGGGGCAGGGATTGCGGGGAACAGCTTCAGGAGCTCAGCGAGTTTAAGGAGCTGAAAGGCCAGTGTGGCTGGAACACAGACAGTAATGGGAGAGACTTAGGAAACCAGTGGAGTGCTTGTCGGGCAGAAGATGCAGGGCCTTGTCAGCCAAGTAATCATTTTTGTCTGTAAGAGCAGTGGGAAGCCACTGAAGGGTTTTTATTCAAGGGTGAATATAATGAACTTGTGTTTTAAAAGTTTCATTCTGGCTGCTGTGTGGAAAGTGAATGAGGGGATGGAATAGTGAGACTAGGTAAGAGAGAGTAGACGAGAGCAGGGTGTGGAGAGCACAGGTGGGGGCCTACTGAGGGAGTTGGATGGCTAGGTCCTGGGGGCAGCGTGGCTATCGCGGATGAGGAGGTATGAACGGATATGGGAGGAGTCAAGTTTGACTCCCAGGTTTCTGTCTTGAGAGAATAAAGATGGGAGGAGGTACACGTGTGAATTATATGTGAATGCCCTGTATGGTACTGGTGAAGATGATAGTGGAGCTGAGTCATGAAGCTTACCAGGTGGGGAAGGTAGAAGGCACTTTCGGCAGCCTGATGGGCATGTCACATGGTGGTTTGAAAGAGCTTGAGAAATTGGGAGTTTGCGTGCAGGATCTGAGCCAAGAGAGAGGTTCTAGAGGCCGTATAATATCACTTCAGGAATTTGGACTTTATTCAAAGGGCAACAGGAGCTAGCAGAGGTTTTTCTTTTGATCGAGTGAAGACATGCTGAGGTTAACTCTTTTTTTTCTTTTTAAAGGTAGAATTTAGAGGGTGAAGATTCTAACATCCAGTATAGAAGAGTTAAGACATGGCTGCATTTCACTGCTCCTTTTCACAGCATGACTTCTTGACAGATACAGTCAGAGCCTGTACTTCTGGAGGTCCAGCAACACCTCTGTCCCTACAGCACCACTGAAACTGTGCTTAAGGTCACTGGAGTCCTCTGTTCTTATATCCAGTCATCACTTCTCCGATCTCATCTTGCTTGACTTCTTGGTCACATTCTAGTTTCTAGTTATTTGATCATTTCCATCTTCTTAATACACACCTCCCAGCTTCTGGGACAGTGCCATTCTGGCAGTGTGTCACTGGCTTGTGTTCTTAGTGACTGTGGCCAGCTCTTCCTCTCATGATTAAACTTGAGAATGTTGGAGTTTCCCAGGGCCCAGTCCTAGGCTATTTTCTCTTCTCTAATCGGCCTTGGAAGCACATCAGAGTCACCTGGGAATTTTCTTTATGGGTGTATACCAACTGGTACAAGAAGAAAGAATGATAGAATCAGAATATCAGTATTTTGCAACCAGAAATAAAATGAATGTTCTAGGCAATGACCATAATGGCTGGTACAGTTGTTGATAAAAACCTGATGGGGAACGTTGTAGTAGATGGATCAAGCTGAGAACAGCTGAATTCATTAATCATTCTTAACCTCATTAAAAGAGATGACCAGGTATCATGTGCTTTCTGATGGAACTACATTATATCTTGTCAAAAAATCTTTCCTAAAGCTTATCAAGTCTCTAGATCTTACTATCAGTTTACTAGAAATAAAGGAAATGGAGCATGCTAAATGACCCCGTGGGGATGCAATCAATAAAGTTCAGAGTGTGGGAAACTATTAAATAAATTGCAAGGAGAAGGAGTGAGGGATAGTCTATAGAATAAAAATGATGTAGTTAAGTGCAATGGCTGACCCTTGTCTGGAGCCTGATCTGAGCAAACCAACTGAAGAAACAGAGACAACGAGAAAAGGCTCAGAAAATTGAACAATGACTGGAATTAAGGAATAAAAACTTAATTTTGGCATAAAGATTTATTTTAGAGGTACATACATACTAAAAAATTGTGAGTGATATGACCTGTCTAACATATGCTTTAAAATAATCCATCTTGGAGATGGTAGGGGGAGGGAGAGAGACATGGACTGGCAGAGATGAAGTAAGGTTGTCTATGAGCTGGATAATGAATACCCGGTGTTCATGAAACTATTTGCTTTTGTATATGTTTGAAATTTCCCACTAAAATTTTTTAATTGCTTGGGGAGCCTTAAAAAGTATGGACCCTGCTCCCTGCTCCCTCCCACAGGGGGGCACCCTAAGAGATTCTGACTCATTGGCCTGGAATAGGGATGGGAATCAATTTTTGAAAGCTTCCCAGGGAACTGTAATGTGCAGCCAGGATTGAGAACTACTGCTTTATATTATGTCCCTAGATGATCTCATCTATTGCTTTAATGCCATCAATATTCTGACAACTCCCAGATTTATGTCTCTGGTCCTGACCTTTGCCTTGAGCTCTGGGCTTATAAATTCATCTGCACTCTTCATCCAGCTGGAGGCCAGATAGGCATTTCAAGCTGACTATGGTGAAAACAGATCTCTTTATGTTCAACCCAAACCTGTTTCTTTCCCAGTGTTTTCTGTCTTTACAAATGGCACTGCCATGCATCTAGGTACAGATGGTCAATAAATAGTTCTGATAAAAAGATTCTAATGGAACCAGCGTTGTATAAAAACTTTAGCCAATCAAGAAGTTCTTGTGTGATGCATGACTATCAAATATAGAAAAGATGCAGCATCCTCTATCATAGTTGCTAGACTTGTTTTGAGTTGCTCTTCAGCTCTTAGCCCTACAAAACCCTAACATTTAGAGCCAGTGACTGAATTTGAATGATAGTAATTTCCTTTCCAGGTTTTTCTACCAAAACATATGGAGGAATTGGGACGAAGAAGAGGAGGACGAGTATGATTATTTTGTCAGATGTGTTGAACCTCGATTGAGATTGTAAGTATTTATTAGTGGCCTTGTACATGTTGGAAAAATAGCTATGCTTTGTTTAATTTTTGGCCCACAAACTGAAATAAACTGATGTACAAATAGTATAACCCACGGACAAGTTATTAAATGAAGCTTATTCTAGTGTGGAGAACTTTTGGTATTTAAGAACAGTCTAAAAGCAGAGAGTTTAATTAAGAACATCTAAGTTAATAGCTCACTGTTTTTTAAATCTGAGTAAGACTCAATTGACCTAATGTTTTAAAACTCTTTGTTAAATTCAAAGATGATTGAAAAACAGTGAAATTAATTGAATTATAGAGACTCTTTTTACTTTAATTTTTTTTGAAGGGTGCTTTTAAAGATGTATGACTTATATTCTAAGTTCTACAGTGAAACCTACTATGCTAAACTAGTGTTTTGGCTGAACTCAAGATGTTTTGTCAAGTTTCCCTTAAATCTTATTGGACAAATAGATGAAAATACTAAATAGTTAATATTGGTGGTGAATACAAAGTTATAGAATATCTAAACACATTTGCCTTCTAATTTATCACATTTGGTAGGGAAAAACCTTCCCATTATAAGAATACCCCATGTTAACCACACACCCAAATAATTGTTCTGCACCAACTTTGTTAAATGTGAGATTTAGCCTTCCACTAGATGGTACTCTAAGACCAGGTAACTTTTTTGAATTCCAGAGTGGTAATTGGAAAGGCAGCACTGCAGTAAGAATAAAATTAGAACTTGCACTCCCAAACCAACTGTAACAGTAATTTTTTTCCTTCATACAGAAAGATTATTTGGTTATGTTACGTAAAGCCTTTACATTTTTGTGGAATCCAATTTGATTAAGTAAATTTCTCTTGGTAGAATAGTAAATAATAAGAGAAAAACGTGAAAAGTCTGGTTAATGGTTCTACCTGATTTAGAACTATGTATGTTTGATTTCAGCTCTTCATATATTTGCTGTGATTTCTATTTAGCCTTTCCAATTTTTCTATTGAGCATTTCCTAATTTCCCATAATTTTTGTTTTTTTTTGTTTCACAAAAGTGCTTTAATACTAAATGCACAAATATACATATATATATTTTAAATTTCTTATTAAGGTATTATTGATATACACTTTTATGAGGGTTTCACATGAAAAAACAATATGGTTACTACATTTACCCATATTATCAAATCCCCACCCATACCCAATTGTAGTCACTGTCCATCAGTGTAGTAAGATGCCACAGAGTCACTATTTGTCCTCTCTGTACTACACTGTTTTCCCTGTGACCCTTCACACCATGTGTACTAAACATAATACCCCTCAATTCCCATTTCCCTCCCTCCCCACCCACCCTTCCATACCCCTCCCCTTTGGTAACCACTAGTCCGTTGGAGTCTCTGAGTCTGCTGCTTCAGTTTTGCTTCATTTTTATACTCCACAAATGAGGGAAATCATTTGGCACTTGTCTTTCTCCACCTGGCTTATTTCACTGAGCATAATATCCTCCAGCTCCATCCATGTTGTTGCAAATGGTAAGATTTGTTTCTTATGGCTGGACAGCTTACATGGAAGATGGGTATATGTACCAAATATTCTTTATCCATTCATCTACTGATGGACACTTAGGTTGCTTCCATATCTTGGCTATTGTAAATAGTGCTGCTATAAACATAGGGGTGCATATGTCTTTTTGAATCTGAGAACTTGCATTCTTCGGGTAAATTCCAAGGAGGGTAGGATTCCTGGGTCAAATGGTATTTCTATTTTTAGTTTTTTGAGGAACCTCCATATTGCTTTCCACAATGGTAGAACTAGTTTACATTCCCACCAGCAGTGTAGGAGGGTTCCCCTTTCTCTTCATCCTCACCAGCATTTGTTCTTAGTCTTTTCGATGCTGGCCATCCTAACTGGTGTGAGGTGACATCTCATTGTGGTTTTAATTTGCATTTCCCTGATGATTAGTGATGTTGAGCATCTTCTCATGTGTCTGTTGGCCATCTGAATTTCTTTGGAGAAGTGTCTCTTCATATCCTCTGCCCATTTTTTAATCAGGTTATTTGCTTTTTGGGTGTTGAGACGTGTGAGTTCTTTATATATTTTGGATGTTAACCTCTTGTTGGATATGTTGTTTACAAATATATTCTCCCATACTATAGGATGCCTTTTTGTTTTGTTGATGGTGTCCTTTGCCATACAGAAGCTTTTTAGTTTGATGTAGTTCTGTGTGTTCATTTTTGCTTTTGTTTCCCTTGCTGGAAGAGATGCATTCAAGAAAAACTTACTCATGTCTATATTCAGGGGATATTTGCCTATGTTATCTTTTAAGAGTTTTATGGTTTCATGACTTACATTCAGATCTTTGATCCATTTTGAGTTTACTTTTGTGTATGGGGTTACACAATAATCCAGCTTCATTCTCTTGCATGTAGCTGTCCAGTTCTGCCAACACCAGTTGTTGAAGAGGCTGTCGTTTCCCCATTGTATATCCATGGCTCCTTTATCATATATTAATTGACCATATATGATTGGGTATATATCTGGGCTGTGTAATCTGTTCCATTGGTCTATGGTTCTGTTCTTGTGCCAGTACCAAATTTTCTTGATTACTGTGGCTTTGTAGTAGAGCTTGAAGTTGGGGAGTGTAATCCCCCAAGCTTTATTCTTCCTGCTCAGGATTGCTTTGGCTATTCAGGGTCTTTTGTGGTTCTATATGAATTTTAGAATGATTTGCTCTAGTTTACTTAAGAATGCTGTTGGTATTTTGATAGGAATTGCATTGAATCTGTAGATTGCTTTAGGCAGGATGGCCATTTTGACAATATTAATTCTTCCTATCCATGAACACAGGATGTGTTTCCATTTATTGATATCTTCTTTAATTTCTCTCATGAGTGTCTTGTAGTTTTCAAAGTATAGGTCTTTCATTTCCTTGGTTAGGTTTATTCCTAGGTATTTTATTCTTTTTGATGCAATTGTGAATGGAATTGTTTTCCAGATTGGTCTTTCTGCTAGTTCATGGTTAGTGTTTAGAAATGTGACAGATTTCTGTGTATTAATTTTGTATCCTGCAACTTTGCTGAATTCAGATATTAAATCTAGTAGTTTTGGTGTGGATTCTTTAGGGATTTTTATGTACAATGTCATGTCATCTGCAAACAGGGACAGTTTAACTTCTTGCTTGCCAATCTGGATGCCTTTTTTTTTTTTTTTTTTT